ACTCTTTGTTCTACCTATTGGCCTCATAGTATTTGAGCAAGGAAGCTTGAAGTTCTCCTGTCTATCAGCTATACAGCTTATGGTTGTAAAATTAATTGTCTGAGTAAAAGAAAAGCTGGAACTTTTACAAATGAGTTTATAGCAAGGGCCATTTGAACTTTAAGGAAAACATTGAATATCAAGCTTTGAAAAGGAGAATTTGAAGCATTGTAGCTTATATTTAATAAAGAAGCTTCACACGGTACTTTACCCCTTTACTTAATAGTACCCAGACATAGTCATGCTTAAGTCAGGAAAAATTAAATTATATTATTCTTTATTTGTTTGTTTATATCCTACTTTTATTATTTTTACAAATAAGTCAGTGAACATATCCAACACAACTTCCTCCACCTATTTTCCCAACAACAATAACCCTGTGAGGTAGGATGGGATGAAAGAGAGTGACTGTCTCAAGCCACCAACTGACTTAAATGCCTAAGGCTGAACTTGAACTCACAATGACCTGCTTTCCAAGGTGTTGTGAGAGAAGAAATACACAGCATCATTTTCTTCCCAGAATCATCCCATCCAAAAAGATAATCTCTATTCGCTTTATTTTTCTTCTGTGTATCAGAATTATCAGTAGTATTTTCTGAATTATGTCAGCTAGTAGTGTTACCTGGTTTACTGGCAGAGGGGTCCACAGGATATGGTCAAAAAGGTGAAGATGACAGTCATAATAGATACAACATACTTAAAAATAATCATTTGGAATTTTGCACTTTGTAAACTTCTCTGTTTGCTGAGTTTCATTGCAAACACCTCCACTCCAGTTGGTTACCCTGCACTATACCCAGAATGCTCTCTTCTTCTATTTATTGGTCAGGGATTTTTTCATGGCTATTTATTTAGAGATGATAGAGGTAGAGATATTTACTTTATCTGTTGAGTGGTAAAGAAAACCCAGGCTGCTGAGTACACTGGTGGAATTGTGAAAAATGTGAACCTATTTTTTTTTAAAGTGAATTTGACACAGGTTATGTCTCTTTCTCTTTTTAGCCCATAAAGCCAATATTTCTCCCTCCTTCCTGAAGAGATAAATAAGTAATGGACTCCATTATCCAGGGACTGTGGCAAACGAGACCAGACAGATACAACACAAGGCACCACAATGATGAAAGTGAAGAAAGGGATAGAAATTTCCAGCTGGTTTACAGGGCCTTAAGAGATAGCATCTTAAAGCTATTATGGGGAAAAGCCTTAATATAATTAAGCTTGAATCTAATCTAACATTACTCTTTTGGTTGTATGGTAGCCCTAAGGTATAGGGAATATTACAAGGACCTAATTCAAATTTGAGCATTTTAAGGCTTTATAGGCCACATCTGGCCCTTCGGCTAATTCTATTCAATCTGTGACATCAGTGGTACTGTTGGCAGGGGGCAGGCGGTGTTGGCAAGAGCAGGTGGTGGCAGCTGGAGGGTAGAATGGGCAGGAGGCAGGGCATCAGCAGGGAGTATTGGTGGGGAGCAGGGCTGTGACAGAGAGTGGGGTCCTGGCAGCAGCAGCAATTTAGGATTTTTTGTTCCCTTTTGGGCTGGTTGATTGTCTCTTTTGCATAGTCTATATATATTGTTAATATCTGTGTGTCTATTGATGGCTAATTTGTCAGACTGCCAAGCTTCTAGAAATTCCCTGGCACTTTTGGACTTGGCCTGGTCTAGGATTGTCCCAATTTTCCCAATTAAAACTATGGTTAAATCTGTTTATATCTTGTGAAATTAAAGAATTTTCATCATGTCTTCTGACTGCTAGTTGATGTTCATAGATGTGTTCTACCAGTCTTCTGCCTATTTGTCCTACACAGTGGTTGTTGCAGTTCTTACATTGTATGTTGTAGATGACACATGTTACTTCTCCTTATACACTTGGGGCATAAATTGATTGAAAGCTTAGATATAGAATAAGAATTTATTCTATTTAATTATTCACCTGTACCTACAGTATACACTGGATTATTAATTCTGAGATGGAGGAATACTTTTACAGAAGATTTCTACATCTCTAATATCTGAGTGATTATATATTTATATATAAATAGATTATTACAATATCAATGCCCAAAATAAAATAAAGTATTAGACAATTAATTTCCAATTCTTCTTTTTACCACAAATAGCTTTAAAGTGGCCTTTCTTGACTTAATTTTTATCTCTTTGAAATGCAGCATCTGTCAATTTGACCTTAAAGGACCAAAATCTACAGCTGCCATTATTTAGGTTTTTAATTTTTTTATTATGGGGAATTATTACATTATAGCTGATGCTTTCAAAACAATGCAATAATAGAAAATAACTCCATGAATAGCAGCAACTATCACTAGCTTTCCTATCCCCCACTTTGATATTACATTTGCTTTTGTTATTGAAAAACTTTAAAATGTTGGTTGAATTTATATTGATCTGCAGGAACGGAAAGTCAGTCAGCAATAGTTTAAAAAGTGTCTTGCTGTATTAAGTTTCCATTTAAATGCCACTAAAGTTTCCAGAATTAGACCATCTTTTAAAAGACCAATAGAAGTTGAACCAACATAGTAGCTTTCTTCTATTTAGATGAAAAATATTATACTGTAGTGGCTATATTACATAGCAATGGCTTCAGAACCAAAATTGATTCACAGATAGCTAATAGCTTTTTCTCATCATAAGATCTTAGTAAAGGTTCAAATACTTCTTGAACCAATTAGTGAAGTAGTAAGGCCCAATTGCATTACAGCTACTTTATATTCATAAATTATAGAGGAGGGGTAACATTAAACTTTTACTAGAGCTGGAACAACACTATATAGATAAATAGTACAAGGACAGCCAAAATGCCCTCACCTGCCCCTATTTTTTTTCAAAGTCATATACCCTAACTGCTATATATGACTTTCAGGGAGTACTTTTATAGTACATTTAAATTAAAACTAACAACATCAGATAAATGGATAAGTGAGACAGTTTCCACCAGATTTTACAGTTGTGGAGTGACTTTTAATCAAATATTGACTGATTTTAAATAAATCAAAGCAATACAGTACCACAAGGAGAGCTAGTACATTTTATACTAAAAATATAAAATAGCAGACCGGTAATGTATTGATTTGCCTTCTCCAAATGCTGTTTGATCAATCCAGGTATTTCCAAAAGAAGTAGTTGTGTTTGTAATTTATGTAGTACACTCAACAAACTAATTGAGCAGTAACTGACTAGATCAAACCTATTTCCTCTTTTATGCATGAGAACTATTATAGATCAGCTTCAGTCCTTGGAAAACAAAATGTTCGTAATAAGAGGCACTCACAAAATGGCATTATTTTTCTTTTTCAACAGTTGAGGGTGGGGAAGTAGATCAAACCTGTAGCCTTCCCATTTTTAAAATAACCCAATCAGATTATGAATTCCAGAAGAGGATACAAGAGCCAGCTTGGAAGTCTATGGTCTACAGAAATAGGAATGATGTTATGGGGAGAGATTACCATATACCTCTTATTATCTGTTGTTACTTTGTTATCCAGCTAAGTAATCCTTGATACATAGTGCTTATAATGATAAATTAATAGCCAGCACAGGTAGCCCTCCTGTGGTTCTGACCCTCTATTTATGAACAAGTTGGGCCAGAATTTCAGAATCTTGAGTGAAGAGGTTGTTAAGTGAGATGCTGTATGATTGCTTTATTTAACAAGTACAATTCCATGGTTATTAAGTGACTGTGGGGTCATTCAATGGAGTACAGGAGAGAAGGCCAGATGTGCTGAATATGGTGGGATAGGAAGAGAGCCAGCCCTCCCACCACACATGGCCTTCTCCCATCCCACTGATTGTGAGAATGTTGGTGTTCATGAACATTCCCCCCTCAGGAATGACAGAAACAATGGCATTTGCTAAAATGGTAGCAAGTACCAACATTCTGAAAGTCTCAGAATGCTGTTGCTTGCTAGCATTTCAACAGATTTGAGGTCAATTCCTCTAGTGCATGGCAGGGGAAGGAAAATCCTTTGATGCACTGGGGGACTGGAGCACAAATTCAATGTCTCCTCTACTTGCAATCTTCCCTGCAGGACTTCCCCATTGACTTACTGAGGTCACATGATCATAGGACACTTGGCAACCAGCCATAAATGCAAACAGATTGCCAAGTGCCTGAAATGTGGCACCCATGTGATGGGAGGAGGGATACTGGTATGATATTATACAATGCTGAAAGTTCTTTATGGACCGTAAAGCACCATTCTGAGGCTGTTGTGACTGCGATTGTTAAATGACCAGAAGTAAGTTGAGAACTACTTGCATACTATTTTTCTTTAGGGTTTTAAATAGATGATCCCAGTAATTGCAGATCCTCCATGTTCCTCCTTTATATTAGAACGTTATGCTTTAATTGCATCTCTTTCTGCTTCTATAAAAATAACTTGTATCTGATCAATCTCTTAAACATAGAAGTGTAGTAAGGTGAAGCAATACTACCAATGTCCATGCAAGCAAAACCCCCAGATATAACGTATGTTTATGTTTTAAAAATAAGATCTCCCATGAGATGGCTTCTTCTCCCATCCAGTGACTGGCAATCAAGAGAGAACTATTAATGCCACAGCAATAGTATATAATCATTGTTCAGTCAGGCAGAAACTGGTTTTTTTTAACCCTGTCACTTTGTAGAATTTGTTGAACATCTACTTTTCTTAGTTCTTCTAATTTTACAAAGATTCTGCCTTCTGCTAACTTCTTACCCAGAGGCTACTGTTGTTTACCTTTTGATTTGTGTCCATTAAAAGAGCAATGTGCCTCAACTTAAGTGGACAATTCTGCCAAATATGCAGAAACTACTATCCTACTATAGTTTTAGGCTGTCCTATTTTATCCAAGTTCAACATTGGAGCCAATAAGAATCCCAATGAATGGTGTTCTATTTATTCCTAACATAATTAGCATTTTGTATGTAGTAGGTCTGGAAAGCATACAAAAATGTTTCACACATTTTTCACATTTAGGCTTCATCCTTTATTAGGTAGTGAGTAAAAGACATTGAAAGGATTGTTTGTTGCTTACAACAGTCTTTATGTAAGAAATTCGTGTTTGCATATAACACTATGATGACAAAAAGAAAAAAAATCAAACAACATAAGAGAGTATACAGCAGATGATAAGAAGAGTAGGAATGCCTCTTTATTCTCTGAGCAAAACTTTATCTGTCCCATTTTTACTGTGCCTCCATAAATACCACAGGCCAAATTATTATAAATCTGTTTATTTTAGTTATATTTTAAATAAGAAAAGGCTTTCCACAGGCCTTCTCCTAGGCCATTTGCATGATTCCCAGTCATCAGTTTGCATATTATTTCATATAAGAAAAATCATTTCTGGGACTCTCTAGTAATGTTATGGCTTTGTTCTAAGAATTTTTTTTATGGCCACAAACAAAGGTTCTGTAGGTTTAGAACAACTTTATATAGCTTAGCGTAAAAAAAAAATTGACATATAAAAATTGACATGCCAGCAGTTCTTATCCTTATTGCACCAAAAAAGTTGAAATAAATTATTGGAATACATCCTAAAATGGTCATAGGGGTGCTATCCCAACAATTTTTATAAAGAAACATTTCTATAATTACTATACACAATCACCATACACATTAGTGGTATCTCCTGTCCCATATTCCTAATATCACTTGGAAAGTATTTGGAGATATATGATAACCATTTTTGTGGTGAGCATTTCTATACATTAAGAATAAATTCAATTTTAGATTCAGATAAATCTTCAAGGCCATTCCCTAATGGTAAATCTTCCAAATGACTGCACTTTTAACTAGCTATAATGAAAACTGAAAAACTGACATAACTAGAAGCTTGGAGAAGGTTGTGGTGACGTCTTATTTTAATGGTTTAATTTAAGAATAGACATATGATTATTTGACCTGCAATCACTAGCTGGAAGCAAAAAATTAAGAATGTTGGTATCAATTAATTACATCAAGTGGTTTTACAAGTTTTGCAGTCCAAATCTAGTTACACTAATTGCAATCTTCCTCCAAATGTTGAATACTTTCATTTCCCATTTGCCTTGGCCAAAATGGCAATGAGATATGATGAGAGACACAATTCATCATCTTGAAGTTTACATATTTCCCATCTCTTTGTGAATTAATGTGGTCAGAGGCAGGTATATGTATTCACATTCATAAATTTTTTTTCTTATAGGTTTATTTCCAAAAATGAAGTTTCAATGTTATCATTCCATAGCAATAAATCTGATCACTGGCTAATTCAGCAACCTGAAAAATGAATTTTTAAATATGTTACACTTATTATTACAATCTTGAGCAACCTTCCTAATGAAAGAAAATAAAAACCACAAATAAACAGATATTCTTGACTTCATATTCTATATGTGGTATAAGACTGATAAACTTAATTTCAAGGCACAAACAGTTGCAAATAACATAAGTGAAATATTTATAAATCAATCAATTGGAGCTCTCTTGGCAAATAAGAATTTAACAAATCTGTGTCAGTTTGAAGTTTGGAGGCACATAGTTGGATTGGGTAGAGAATTTCAGCCATAGAAATTTGCTCATGGAATAATTTGTACTCTTATCTATTTCTTTCTCCTGCAGTCTTTCAACTTACAAAAATCTGCTCCAGAGGATTGGAAGATCCTTTATAACAATGTAACAGATGGTTTCCATGCTCTATTAAGAATGGAAGAAATCCTTCTGCAAATGCTCCTACCACTACTGGGACCACTTTGGTCTTTACTTTCCACATTCTCCCCAGACCCTGGTACTTTTCTCATACTCATTCTTTCTGATGTTGCTGTCAATTGGCAGCTACATCTATCACCACTGCTGTCTTCTGGTCTTTGTCTACTACCAAGCTATCTGGTTGATTGGCCAGTACCTGCCCATCTGAATTTGGAAATGCCACAGGATCTTAGTCCTTTTACTCTTCACAACCTTCTGTGGAATCTTCCATCTAGACTTAGAAGAGTCTATATACACATCCACATCCACACATGTATATGGATATGCGTGCATGTGAGCACACACACACACTCGTGCCAACTTTTCTAAAACCAGTCATCAAATACTAATTAGCAGTGTTGAGTTTCAGATTTGGAAAGAAAAATTAAAGCTATATATGGGATATTTGTCAACAACCAGCCTTTTCTTAGTATCAATAGCAAACTGAATAGAACTAATGTAGTGAATTGATATTAGGGAATAAGATTGGGAGACCGTGGGAAGAGCAGTAGCCTAGACACTCTTCCTATAAACAAAATATGAGTTGGAAGGATGGATGAGAGTAATGAAAACATCTTAGAAAGGACTCTGTAGTTTTAGAAGACTAAAGTAAGGGAAGGTAAAGATCCCTTCAGACTTCCAAGATTTGGTTACTATAATCTTACAACAAAGGTAATATTAAGTAGTGTTACTCTTGATTGCTGTTTCTTTTCTGGGCTACTTCAATGGGATGACATTGGTGTAGCGATTAATAGGCTACTATTGGCACAGACACCAGTTTAGAAGCCTTAGAGTATTTACTTCCTTTCTGTTCTTAATCAACATCAGGACTGCAACTTTAACGCTCTTGTTATATCATGCATCAATATGCTCCATTCTTCTAATTACAGTGAATGTAATGCAAAACAAGATGACTCTGCCAACTAAGTGGGACAAGTGCTAAGAACAGCAACAACCCAGTAGTTTGAATAAGTAGCTTCATGATTCCAGAAACAGACACAGCCATTTAAAAGAGTGGCAGACTTATATGAGGAGAGTGTTCCTCCTTATCTATTTTCTTTTTAAAGCTGAAGTGCTTTCTGGCTTAGTGTACTAAATGGAGTGTTTGAATATGGTAAATTTATGGAGGTTGCTTTAATATAACTAGTATTTCATGAATAATCTTTAAGCTTCCACTCTCCACTCAGCTTAAAATGTGTCTATTTGCTAAAATCTACTTGTGAGCATAATAGCTGTATAGCAGAATGGCTGCTTCTGAATGAGCATTTAATTTCTCCAAGAAAATGTCAGCAGAAATATCTATTCAGAATAGATACATTTCTTTCCCATCCTGTCTGCTATTTCTTGCCAACTGTTTCATAACCCTTTTCTAAAAATGAATGGCTCAATTTAATTATTTTATATAGTTTTCTCTGCATAAATTATTTTGAATTCTAACATATATACAATATAGCTCTATAGATTTCCAATATTTCATTTTTAATGCCTCACAGTGAACATACAGCCTTAAGGTTGCAATCCCATATCAACAAGACTTTCCTTTCAGTAGGTCTGTAAAATGGCATAAAGGCTAAAAGGTTATGATATATAAGACAGATACAAAATTTCTGGTCCATGGGTTGCATCTGTCCACATAGTATGGCTTTCTGATAAAATATAACTTAGATTTATATTAGATCCCAACAGTAGCAATATACTTTATTATTACCACTATATGTGGCATAAACAAACCACTTCACAAATCTTCTGTTCTGTGTTCCTTTTGTTTGTTCTATAACCAATCCTGTACCTAATCATTGTCTAATAAATGTTTTTAACCACAATCTGCTGAAATATGTATTAACTTCTGTTATGAGATTATCCATTTTACAGTCTTAATTTGATTCTAAATGCATTTCCTTTTTCCATAGAATATTTCAAAATATTTTTTTCCTTTGGCAAACTTGAAATTCCAGAAAATGGAGTATCATTTCAGTGATATAAAAACCAACTGCTACCATGGAGAGTTGACTGAAGGAAAAGGAAATCTGTGACCTGTTTCATGAGAACATTAGAAGCACAGGCGATCAGATCACTATTGGGCTATTTAAGATAATTGCAGTGTTGATACAGATGTTCCTGCCAGGTTACATAACTTTTTATGGATCCTGATTCCTTCACTTCCTGGACTATAGACTAAGATCAATTTCTCCTGCCTGTATTTTGATTGATTGCTACAGATAACACAGATGCCACATTAGCTCTCCCAATCATAATCAGGTTGAGCACACAAGAACGTGTATGTATAGTAGAACTTTTTCTTTTGTCCTGAACAATCAGCATTCAATTTATTTAACATTACATGTACATTTAAAGCACAGGGAAATGTTAAATGCCACTTGTGATGAAGCAAAGAGGCAAGATGGATAGGCAGACCTTCAGAAAGAAATGTCCAACTAAGGGCTTTCAAGATTGGTGTTTCACTGAAATGATGATATAACTAATTGGAAAGTCTTGCATTCAGGAGAGAAGCCAATATTGCAATCCTATCTGAACACATCTGCTGTAAATAAAATCTCTTTTGAGTCATGCTTGACTCCTGACAACTACATAATTGGGTTTACCATTTTGGTTTACTTGGCAACAAAGCAGAAGTGGGTTTCCACTCCCTTCTTAATTTGCTTGTCAACTCTGTTGTACATTCTGCGGTGTTGAATAGGGTGTATCCTAGAGAAAATTTTGTGCAGGGTGACTGCCAAAGCTTCTTCCTAGGCTCACAAATATTGTGGCAACTTGCCAAAGAAGGAATATGTCAATTATGTCTTCTCAGTTTATGAACATTTCTGTATTGTATCCATTTTTATCAGATAAATACCCAGGAAATGCTGACTTGGCAGGAGCAATGGTTAAGCGTACTGGTGTTCACAGTACTTCTGTTCCTTTTCTCCTTTCATTCTAAGGATTAAGTATTTTATATACATTGAAACCAGTTAATGCCCTTTAAACAGTTCTGTTTAGTTGTTCATAAAGTTACTGTATGTGGGATCTGTGCCAAAAAGCACAATCAAAATTGCTTCAATACTAGTATTTGTGTGTATATGTGTATTTGTATTTGTATACATACACATATATTTTTTTCTGAAATGAAAATTTATTCATTTTACATACACACAAACACACACACACACACACAAAATCAATCAATGTTGCAGGATAACTTGTAAGATTCTCATTGGTAGAATATGCAGCCAATTTCCTTTCTTTAAAATTGATTAAGATCTCTATTAAAAGTCATGTGTGTGTGTGTGTGAGTGTGTGTGTGTATATGTGTGTGTATACACACACACACACATATACACACAATAAATTAACACTGCATAGGTCATTGTCCTTGTTTTACTTTTGTTCTGAAAAATTATTGCAGTACACTTAATTCATTGATGGAATTCAATATGGAGCAAACAGGACAGGTGTGTGGGTCGTCCGTATAGGTCCAGGGGCGGGTCGAAGAAGTGATGGAGGAAGTGCAGAAGTCTGAAAAAGAGTAGCTGGTGGGGCTGTTCGAAGACTGAAAGGGGAATTTACAGCCACAGCAGCAGCTGCTGCTGCAGCTGCCAGTGGGTTGGGGAGTATCCTTGGAGCTACTGGTTTTGCAGCTTCTTTTGAAAAGACAAGTTTGACCTGAAAGGGGAGGGAAAACAACAAAGAATGTTATTTGTTCAAATCACAAACACTGAAGATGAATTTTTATGCAAAATATCTAACATACTTGATGACATTGCAATGGGAAAGGTAAATCAAAGGATTTAAAGGAAAATAAAATATTAAGAAAATGAAAATAAGTAAATAAGAACAACAGAAAAGAGGCATGTGTGTGTGTGTGTGTGTGTGTGTGTGTGTGTATGGAATCAGAAAATCAGTATACTCTGATAATCAATATTTACAGATTTCATATTGGGCAAAACATGTTCATAAATTGTTATGAAAAGGTTCTAATTTTGGGAAAAACAAATGTTCATTTTCAATTGTACACACACACTCACACACACACACACACAAGCACACACAAACAGATATATTTCCCTATTAACTTTTTAATATCAAAACTGCAGAACACAAGGTCCTAAACAGAACTTTGTATATGACCAGGGTAACAATGTATGGAATGAGAATTCTATGAGGGGCATATGGAATTTCAGAAGGGATTGCTTCAATGAAACTTTCTATGAAGCCAGTTTAGTCACCAGGCTAGAAATGAGGAGACTATAAATTCTAGTCCTGTCCTAGGGATGAAAGCTAGTTGGGTGATCTTGGGTCAGTCATTTCCTCTCAGCCCAACCCACTTCATAGACTTTTTGTTGTGGGTAAAATAGGAAGGAGTATTATATATGTTTATCACTATGAATTATTTACAAAAATAATAAAGGTGGGATAAAAATAGATGATAGATAGATGATCTATCTATCATCTATCTATCTATCAGATGATAGATAGATAATGGATAGATAGATAGATGATAGATCATTTATCTATCTATCATCTATTTTTACCCCACCTTTATTATTTTTGTAAATAATAAAGATAATAATAAATCTAAAGATAGATTGATCGATATAGATAGATAGATAGATAGATACATAGATAGATAGATAGATAGATAGATAGATAGACATGAATAAGCAATGCATTCCCTTGAAGCAAAACCATGAAGAAAGCTGAGCCATGTGTCATCACTTATAGAAAGTGGGAAAAAATCCTGATGGATGGACATGGACTTAACCTGCTTTGTGATATAGATGTGATCTCAGGTGAAACATTAAGATGGATTGAATCATTCACACACTCAAAAGCACAGGTTCCACGATCCCAAATCCTTAATTAAGTCATTAATTTATATAAACAATTGCATATCCTATTCTTAGAGTTAATCATTATTACACTGATTTCTTCTTATTTATTTGATTTTTTGATAATATTCTTCTAAATAATTATGAGCAAAATTTCTATATCATAAAAATAACTATGCAGGGGAATGACAACAGCACACCAAATAAATCACAGTTTCCTGGCTGTGCACTCACTTGGAGTGAGTAAAGATTATAGTTGGAGTAAACATTATAGTTCAGTGGAACTTAATTCTGAGTAGAACGTATGTGTGATATCACTAGCATCCTCTTACATGAGTGGTGATTTTTCACCCAGATACTATATTTTGGTTGATCAACTACTCAAGCTCTCTTTTGCTTTTGCATTCTCCATATCAGAGATGGATAAGCTTTGAGTGACCCTTTCCCAACTTAATTAGATTTTTGGAGTGTTCCAAATGAATGCTTGGAAAAGCTCAATAGTCAGATGGATATTTATCTGAAACTTGAAACATAATTTTCCATTGGCCTTCCCTCTTTTTTCTAGTTAATTTCTTTTTCATAAGAAAAAAATATTTAATTTGGTAAGAATAAGGAATGGCTAGCTTATGATAAGTCGCTTTTTTTCAACCAATGAAATGTAAGGTTATTCAAAGGTTGTCAGTTAACCTAGAAAAATGGAGTCTCCATAACACACTATTAGAATTGTGCTTCAAATTATATTATCAGTAATACTATATATCAAAAACTTGCTTACCCCAAGTGGGTGTGTTCCTTTTTGGAGTTTGTTATAGGGGCTGTATTTGGGTTTTGGAGGTTTCCCAGCAGCTCTGTCTTTGTGCCTTCTACTGCTTATGTGCTGTTTTAAAGCAAACACTCTTTGTTACTATTGTTCAAATGACACAATTTACTGACTTCAACACAATATTTTTGGCCAACCTGAAAAATTTGATGTGTCCTGTTTTAAAACCATGCCAAATAATGAATCTTTTTATCTTTTTTTTTTTTACCATAAATAAAAATCTGGTTCAAATAACCAGATTTTGAAAGAAAAATAGATGAATAGATTTTATCATAAACCGATTCATCTATTTTTCTGGTTGCTCTGAAATGCTGAACACATAGGTTATATGATATATCAATTAACAAGGTCTGGTTTTGTAAATATCTTAAAAAGAAAACTATTTGGGAAATCAGGACAAACTCATTAATAAATAATCTCACTAGACTAATACAGGTACTTGTAACTTATGTCTATGGAGATTCTCAGTCAGGTACTCCTAACTTAATGATCACAATTAGGACTGGGAGCTCTGGGAGCAAAGTAATTTCTAAGTGGGAAACCACATGACTACTACTATATTTTCCTTTTCCCACCCACCCACCTCACCTTTGGAGTAATCACCACAGGGCTGAGGTAGCTGTTTGCCTGCCTGTAATTGATTTTCACACTTCCACTTTTGTTTGTCTCCTAAAGATTTTACCTTAGCTTCCCTTTTTTTCTGACTGCTTGATCATTGGAATAATTAGAATGAAGGGAATTAATAAACTAATTTCTATTTGCATTTATTACTGAGTAGGGATTACAAGAATAATGCCTAAATATGCATGCACAATATGGCGACGCCACCCTGAATCCGCAATCAACCATGGGGTGGATTCGGGTATTTTGGGGTCCACCGGGAGTGCTTTTACAATCCTAGCCTGAAACCCAGTGATGGGAACTCTCGCCCAGCCTGGAGAGGGCTTTTTTGCCCTCCAGAACAGCATGGCTGGGGAGAATTTACGGAGACTGAGTGTCACGGAATTGAAGGCACCAACGGCTGGTCGCTCTGGCATTTTTGCATTGGGGGCAGCAAGGGCAATGTCGACAGCCGAACACAGTGGCTGGCCGAATTGGCAGTGGGACGAGGCCGGCCTGAAAGATCTTGCCTGGCCCAGGGTTACCTCGGGGAGCTGTGGAGGCTCTGTAGATACTAGGGGGTGCACTGGAGATCCGGATGTTTGCCAGCAGCGGTGGAGGTTACCCCTGGCGAAATGGCGACCGGTGTAGGAGGCTGATTTGGCTCGGAAGACCAATGTTGGTGGAGGGGTCAAAAAGAGACGTCTAACATGCCCTGCAGCCGAGCAGAGGCTAATAAACCACCAAACCACCAATTGTGATTGGGGACTTGGAGGCTGCAGCCATGGCTGAGGGGATTACTAAACTTCTGGATATGGGAGTTGCCGGAGGCGGGCCTATGGACTGGCTGCCTTGGGCGGCATATCTCTCCCCCCCTTTCTTTTCAGCCTGGTTTGGACTTCTTAGATGCTGCCCATGGATTGTATTACTGCGGATTTATTCCCAGTTTGTGGAACATCCCCCGCCCGTGGATTATCATAGACCTGCCTCTATAAATTATTATTCTATTCTACTATTCTATTTTATTGAGCCCATGCACCGAGGTGGTCTGGATAGTCATGTGGGTGCTGAGGGAGACGGCTTTTGGGCACTGGTTACTGCTGTAAGACTGGAGGCGGACCAACAAATCCTCCAAAGTTATGACCATCTGACCATCGCTGTGAGAGGGTGATTAGGACATTGATCTTGCAGAGGTGCTCAAAGGCCTGGGACTCCTCCCACTGTGGTGAGAGAACAGTGGAGGCCAGCTGTTTCTTCCACATAGTTTCTACCATCTTTTACCATCTTCTATAGATCTTTATTGGACCCCACCTGGATACCAGTTCCATTTGGTCTTCTTAGTGGATGTATTTGGTGGCTGAACTAATTGCATTGTGAGATGCCCCCCTCTTGCAGACGTGGCCCTCCACATTATCGAGGGCCTACCTCAATGACGGGTTTTGGGACCCGGAGAGGTGGCATGTGAAAAAGAAGGGGTTGAGGGTTTTTTAAAAAAGGGTAGCAGGGATGCTTTTAAGGGGACCTGGGAGGGGCGCAGGGGGCTGTAGAGATGGACTGGGGAGGGTCCATATAGCCACTGTGCAGGGTGGTGGGTTGGATGGGCGCAGCGGAGGAGGGAAGCAGGGTAATCTGACCGGGCTGCCAGGGGGCGAAAGGAAGGGCAGTTCCATCAAAGTGATAAGTGGGAGGGGCAGGTATGGTGGGCGCAGGGGCCCATATCAGGTTCAGGGGGTGTGCACATGCTGTCTTCGAGCGATTGCGCACTCCAGCCCCCATAGCGTGGCTCGTGTCCTGGACTCCATAGAATCTCAGGCCCTGGGTCCACGACTGATGGTATGTAATGCCAGGTCGGTAATTAACAAAGCCCCCCTCATTTGTGATCTTATTGTGGAGGGGGGTGTAGACCTGGCTGGGATTACGGAGACCTGGTTGAGCCAGGAGGGGGGCTTCCCCTTGTTGAAATGTGCCCTCCAGGCTTTCATGCATTTCATCAGCCAAGGGCCCAGGGGAGGGGTGGGGGAGTAGCGGCAATTAGTAGAGAAAGTCTTGTCCGAGGGAGGCCACTGTTCCTCAGATAGCCGGATGTGAGTCCCTTTTTGTGAAGTGGGGTCGTGGGGTGCAGATGGGTTTGCTGACTACGTACCTGGCTCCCTGCCACGTGGTGGTGACCCTGCCTAGCTACTCGATGTGATTGCCGGGGTGGCAGTTGATACCCCCAGACTTATTGTTATGGGGGATTTCAACCTGCCATCTGTCGGTGAGATATCAGAGGTGGCTCGGGAGTTCATGGCTTCCATGACGGCCATGGACCTGACCCAGTTAGGGCAAAGCCCCACTCACACAGGGGGACACACTCTGGACTTGATTTTTATCTCTGGTCAGTGGCTGAATGATCTTGGTAGAGGGGACCTAGACATTAAACCCTTGTCATGGACAGATCATTCACTCCTTTGCTTAGACTTTCAAACCGCTTCCCCCCCGCCGCCTGGATGGTTCCGTCCCAGGCGCCTGATGGATCCCGAAAGGTTCCAGATGGAGCTTGGGCCATTTCCTGAGACTCTGGCACATGACTTGACTGAAGACCTGGTGGCCGCTTGGGATAGTGTGGCCGCAGGGGCTTTGGACCACGTCGTGCCTTTGCGGCCTCTGACCTGATGCCGATCTCAATTGGCTCCTTGGTTCTCTGAGGAGCAGAGAGAGATGAAGCATTGGAAAAGACACCTAGAGAGTGTTTGGAGGACTAGTCAATCCGAATCTGACTGGACACAGGTGAAGTCTTATATCAAGACCTACCTAGTGGTGATAAAAGCGGCAAAATCTAACTATTTTTCCACTCTTATCGCATCTGCAGAGAACCGCCCAGCCGCTCTGTTTAGGGTGACCCACTGCCTCCTTCGGGTGGAAGTGCAGGAAGATCCCTTGCAGGGTCGAGCTGAGGATTTTGTGCAATTCCTGCATGATAAAGTCGCTCAGATTCGGGAAGGCTTGGACTCTGACTGGGTGAATCCATGGAGGGAGATGGGGGTGAGTCTTGAGAATATTATCTGGGAAGAGTTTGACCCTGGGGCTCCCGAGGACATGGACAGGATTCTGGGTGGGCTTAGTGCTGCCACATGTTTATTGGACCCGTGTCCCTCCTGGTTGGTACTGGCCTCCTGGGAGGTTACACGAGGCTGGCTCCACGGGATTATAAATGCTTCTTTGAGTGAGGGTGAATTTCCCGCTGCCTTGAAAGAGGCGGTGGTGAGGCCTCTTCTCAAGAAGCCATCCTTGGACCCAGCTGTATTAGGAAATTACCGTCTGGTCTCCAACTTTCATTTTGTGGCGAAGGTTGTCGAGAGTGTGGTGGCACGACAGCTACCCCGGTACCTGGAGGAAGCTGTCTATCTGGATCCATACCAGTCGGGCTTCAGGCGGGGGTACAGCACAGAAATGGCATTGGTCACGTTGGTTGATGATCTCTGGAGGGCTTGGGACAGGGGTTGTTCCTCTGTCCTGGTCCTATTAGATCTCTCAGCGGCTTTTGATACCATTGACCATGGTATCATGCTGCAGCGGTTGAGGGGGTTAGGAATTGGAGGCACCGTGTTATGGTGGCTCTCCTCCTACCTCTCCAACCGCTCGCAGTTTGTGTTGGTAGGGGGGCAGAGGTCGACCTCGAGGCGCCTCGCTTGCGGCGTGCCGCAAGGGTCGGTCCTCTCACCCCTTCTGTTCAACATTTATGTGAAGCCGCTGGGCGAGATCATCCATGGTTTTGGGGTGAGAGCCCATCAGTACGCTGATGACACCCAGCTGTACATCTCCACCCCAAACCACCCGAATGATGCCCTTGATGTGATGTCCCGCTGCCTGGAGGCTATGTGGGTCTGGATGAGGAGAAATATGCTCAAGCTCAACCCTTCCAAGACTGAGTGGCTGTGGCTTCCGGCGTCCCGGTATAGTCAGCTGGTGCCATAGCTGACTATTGGGGGTGAATCTTTGCCCCCCACAGAGGGCTCGCAATCTGGGTGTCCTCCTAGACTTCCAGGTGCAATTCAAGGCGTTGGTCACCACTTTTAAAGGGCTCCATGGCATAGGACCAGGATATTTACGGGACCGCCTTCTGCCACCAATAGCCTCCCACCGACCAGTCCACTTCCACAGAGAGGGACTCATCAAGGTACCGTCGGCCAAGTTATGTCGGCTGGCGATACCCAGGAGGAGAGCCTTCTCTGTCGGAGCTCCTGCCCTTTGCCCCTGGATATTCATAACATCTCTGACTTCCAGGTCTTTCGCTGTGCCCTCAAGACCCTACTGTTCTGACAGGTGGGGCTGTATAACTAAATGATTTTAAATTGGGTTTTAATATTGGGATTTTAAAATTTGGCCAAAACTATTTAATGATTTTAATTAATTTTCACTATGATATTATATATTTATGTTTTTAATCTTGGCTGTACACTGCCCCGAGTCCTTCAGGAGAAGGGCGGTATATAAATAAAATTATTACTATTATTATTATTATTATTATTATTATTATTATTATTATTATTATTATTATTATTATTATTAGAGTAAGCAGACACAAAATGAAAAATACAATCAAAAGCAATCCATTGGCACTGGTAGTCATGAATAGGCTATGCAACAGCACAGTATATTTTGTGAACTGTTGTACTAGAAATAAATCCTGAAGTATCACAATCTTCAACATCAATAAAAGATAAATCAGTAATAAAATGGTTTTTTTTTTTCAAGATGGGCTTATATAATAATGGGAGGTATCTTATAATAATAACTTTACTGAAGAGTACGTTATTTAAGTAATACAGAATACAGAATATAGAATACAGAATCCTGCAGAACAAATGAATCTCTCTGACCGGTCGCAATCTGTGTTGACAGGGGGGCAGCGGTCGACCCCGAGGCACCTTGCTTGTGGGGTGCCACAAGGGTCGGTCCTCTCGCCCCTTCTGTTCAACATTTATGTAAAGCCGCTGGGTGAGATCATCCGTGGCTTCGGGGTGGAGTTCCATCAGTACGCTGATGACACCCAGCTGTACATCTCCACCCCAGGCCACCCCAACGATGCCCTTGAAGTGATGTCCCAGTGCCTGGAGGCCGTGCGGGCCTGGATGGGGAGAAACAGGCTCCGACTCAACCCATCCAAGACCGAGTGGCTGTGGCTTCCGGCATCCCGATATAGCCAGCTGACACCATCGCTGGCTATTGGGGGCGAATCACTCGCCCCCACGGAGAGGGCTCGTAACTTGGGCGTCCTCCTAGATGCACAGCTGTCGTTAGAAGATCATTTGACGGCCGTGGCCAGGGGAGCTTTTTATCAGGTCCGCCTGATACGCCAGTTACGCCCCTTTCTAGATTGGGACTCCCTACGCACAGTCACTCAGGCACTCGTCACTTCCCGCCTGGACTACTGCAACGCTCTCTACATGGGGCTCCCCCTGGGGTGCACCCGGAGGCTCCAGCTGGTCCAGAATGCAGCCGCGCGGGGGATTATGGGGGCGACGAGGCGCTCCCATGTAACACCTCTCCTGCGCAAGCTGCACTGGCTCCCGGTGGTCTTCCGGGTGCGCTTCAAGGTGTTGGTGACCACCTTTAAAGCGCTCCATGGCTTAGGGCCGGGGTACTTACAAGACCGCCTTCTGCCACCAATAGCCTCCCACCGGCCAGTACGCTCGCACAGAGTGGGCCTCCTCAGGGTGCCGTCCGCCAGACAATGTCGGCTGACGACTCCCAGGGGGAGAGCCTTCTCTGTGGCGGCGCCCACCCTCTGGAACAACCTCCCCCCAGAGATACGTACAATAACAGACCTCCGGATTTTTCGTCGGGCCCTGAAAACCCATTTATTTCAACTAGCGGGGCTGGCTTGAGTTAATTTTAAATTGATTTTAAATTGGGTTATTTTAATTTACGGCCAATAATATTTAATTATTTTAAATTGCTTTTAAATTTTGTATGTATTGTTTTTTACTTTGGCTGTTCACCGCCCTGAGTCCTATTCTGGAGAAGGGCAGTATAGAAATTTAAATAATAAATAAATAAATAAATAAATAAATAAATCATTAAAATATCCTCTTTTTGTTCAGTTGTTCAGTTGTTAAAGACTCAAGAGCCTATTTCCCTTAGGTTAGGTTGATTTATGCTTCGTATCAGAAATCCTATGTAACACTTGGGAACCGGGCTATCTACCAGAAACTGCCTTGATCTCTTAACTGCTGTATTTTTTCTATGTGAATAAATAGCACTTGCCTTAAATTGTTCTCTATGGCATTTGCCTCTGTATGTCAAACAATTTATCTGTAGAACCTCATTCCACAGAGAAACATCCTACCATTTTAGAACAACAAACCAACAAACTGGAATTTATGTGAATAGCATTTCATACTTATAAAGCTGAGACATGCAAACAAACATTAGACTAGTATCGTCTTGTTTTGCTCTTTTTAATTACTAAGTTTGTGTCCTGATATATGGGCAGGATCTGCCAGTAAACTGCATAAAAATGTTTTAAGTTGTGTGGTAAGCTGTTTGGGGAAGACTTACTTTAAAATGTGTTTCACTCATTTTAAACCAAATAAATATTCCATATATTATTCCCAGTGCATAAATTAGTCTTCCGTCAAGATAATGCTCTCTCAGATTATACATACAATGTGATTACAGATATGAGAACATTTATAAAAATAATATTGTGTGGTTAATAGGATTTCTAATTTTGAGGAGGAAGAGTATAGTTTACTGGATCTAATTTGATACTTCTTGTCTAAAGAAGAATCTGTTTATACAACAATTCGTATTCATCAAAATATCCATTTTTCTGCAATAGACATGGAGAAAGTAAAATAACAGAACACAAGGGTACATTATGTCATTCTCAAATAATTTACCCTAAGTTGAAATAATTGTCAACATATGATAGTTTAACAAAAATATAATTCAGCAAAACAAATGCATCACCACACACAAAATCATCATGAACCATATGGCATGGTTGTGTAAACTGTTCAGAAAGCCAGAAAACTGTTCAAAAAGCCACTGTTGCCTTGTGGCTTTGGAAGTAATCCAGCAAATGTGCCGTCTGTTCAGAAGAGTGGAAAGGGATGTGAAATGTACATGGTAAAGTTTTCAGAAATGTGATACCTTGCTGAACCAAGCAGCAGGTTTGGTTGAAATATCCATCTCTCTAATTTGCATTACCCTATCCTGTTGGTAAGAAATCAAAGAATCATATGATTGATGAACACACCATAATCTTTTAGCATATGGACACATTGTTGGACTCAAATAGATATGTTACTTTTCATTTCTATAGTTGAAAATACGATGGGCATCTGTATCAATCTCCTGGAATCACAATATTGTTGCAGAAATTACAGGAAAATTGGAAAGCACCAGTCATTCTTGGCAAATGGTAGATGATCATAATCCCATCAGTGGCCCTCATAAACTCCTAAAAATTGGTAGCTTTACTAATCCATAATTAAGAACCTTGAACTTCTGGAGCTTAGGAGCAATGAAAGAAATATATTGCCAAAATTTAGTACCTGTTTAAGTTGTGTCTCAGAATTCACGTGCACATCACAAATTTCACAGTGAAATGTTTTGTTCTGAAGTCCTGTATTTCCTTTATTGATAGGTCCTTTTCCTTTGACACCTGTCCTAGGAAAGGCTTTGATGGTTCCACTCCCGTTACGAGCTTCTAGCATAGTTTTGTGCTTTGTGCCTAAAAATGTTAAACATATAAAGAATAATCTTAGAAAAATGTTTGAATAAATCCTTCATCTTCCTCTGGATTAACTTTATCCAACATGTGAGGACTTTAATTTCCAGGATTCTTTAGCATTATAGCCAGAGCTAAAAATATTACAAAGTCCTCATATTTAACGAATTTAAAGGCTGTTCTAGCTATACCTCAGGTTTTATCCCAGATACTTTTTATGCACCTATCTATATTCTTCATATTGATTTGATTAATGATAATCATATTAATATTGTATATCCATATATCCAGCTATTAATGCCACCTAAGTAATTATAATTTCATATAAAAACCTGAGAAGTTATGATTATTATTTCCATACATTGGTGATACAATTTCTAATGTCCCCAAGTTCCATGCCACATATGACTAATTGACCCCAAGTTATTTATTCCTCAACTTTTATGCTAAAGAAGCTGACATCAGTATATAGTAATGTGTGTGAGAATCCTCAATGAAGTTAAATGTAGAGTTTATTTTGATCACCAGCTGCAGCTAATTAAACATGTCCTCTCACAAAAAGATAAAATCATTCGGACATTGGTTTGAATCATTGCCACATATTCTAATTGGATTATTAACAGTAATTTTGAAAACCTGCTGCTAGTGAAGGAATTGGCACTACCTCAAAAAACCTTTTTGACAGTGCACACACCATAGAAAGGAATGGAAACTAAGTCACCCTTTTTAAAAAGAATGCATGAAGTCTAGAAGTCTTTACCAGGAAAAATATTGCTTCTAAAAACTAAAGTATTTACAATAAAGATCTATTCTATTCCATGCCACTGTTTCTCCAATAGAGAAAAATTCGCAGGAGTCCATGTATCTTTATATTTTTCATTTTTAAAGAGGGGGAGGGGGGAGAAGCAAAGGTAGTATTTGTCATGACAACTTAAAAGATTAATTATTTCCAAACATTTTACAAAAGTTAGGCAGTGTACACAAAATCCTTTTGAATCCAAAAGCAATAGCCATACTTATAAATTTCAAAGATTACTGCTATTGGGAATTTCTCAGATTTGCCCGTTCCGGATCGCAAATGGATCTTTTTTCAGTTTATTTAATCAATCAGTCTGAAAGTAAAACAATTTTCAGAGATTACAGGTAAGTGCCACCAATCCACTGAAATAACAATAATGCTGTTCTGTATATATATGAGATATTATTCATTCTTTGCAATAAACCATGTAATAAACCATGATTTAAAAAATCACACAAGACTTTTCCTTCCTCAATGAAGGAGAAGTAATGCAATGTAATCTAATATTGATTCTAAAAACATCAAAAACCATATAAATAGATAATAGCTAAAAAACTGAAGAAGAATATAGGAGTTTGATAAGTGGCTTAATGATTGAATATATATATATAAAGACCCAATTACAGGTTCACCTCAGCTAGGAAGCTCACTGGATTTGGCCAATCAATCTCAGTCCAATCTAACCTACCTTATAAGATGCTCTGAGGGGAAAATCAGAGGAATGAATGCTATATATGCCTCCTTGACATCCTGGAGAAAAGGCAGGACATAAATCTAACAAATAAATGCATTTATGGAATACATAATATAGGGGAAATTCAATAAGAATTATTTAAGGGCCTATGCACAAAATAAAATAACAAGATTATAAAATAGAAAAAAAGATGCTACAATAATTCAGTCTAAATTTGAAGAATTAAAAATGATTGAACACATAAAATAACCTCAAATATATAAGTATATGAAATACTTGTACTTATTAGCTATATTGTATTAGCTTAAATATTTGAATGAGTAAAATAAATGGTGGGGTTAAAGGCTATATTGGATTAATGACATGTTGGTTTGATTGTTCTAATATTCAGTGGAGTATTAGAAGATAGGAGAAGAAACTATGGTTTGGAAATGAGGAATTTTTTTCCTTTAAATATTTTCAGTTATGATACATAGAGAGTTAGTTAGATTGTTCATATAATATCCTTAAAAGGTACTTTCTAAGTGGTTGTGAATTCAATTAATGCAAGACATGTCATTTGATAAAAGGTGTCAGTGCTGAAGAATGAAAAAGAACAATTTTGATTAAGATGCATATGTGTACATCTATGTATGGTTATATTTAGTCGATTGTTTTTCCTACTACAGCAATGCAAACATTAAGTGTCCATTTCAAAATCTTCTTAATGTTATACATCCAGTCATATTAGTGTCTGCTTTCCTTTCGTCTAAAACAGTATACAGCTCATGTAATCAAATGCTTCAGCAGCATTGCAAACTGGTATTTGAAGAAGGAATCTGATTACTTCTGTGGATCAAAAGCTCCTCCTTTCCCTTTTTTATACTGAATTTCTTTTCTTGTCACTTTTGTCATTTAATTGTTAATAAATTCATGGAATTTTTAGCTTTCTCTTCTGCAAGCCATCTGAAAAGCTCAATCTTACCACTGTTGTGTGCCTCCAGCTGGGAGGCAGAGTTGACAGCAACCTTGCATAGTGAACAATAAAGCAACCGTTTGGCCTTTTCTTCTTCTGTCTCTCCTAAGGAGCTCACGCTACTGCTGGTGGCAGTGGAGGGAAATTTTTCAATTTTTGAGGTGATTTCAGTCATTGTTACACTGTTCTTTCGAATTTTGATAGCTGGAGACGTTGATATTGCTGGTGTTTCGGTTGTACTATCTGTTTTATAGATTGAAACAAAATATAAGTTACAAATAATTATTCATTACGATTCTGGAAACATTGGGTGTAATATGAAACTTGACACGAGAAGTGGTTTAAAAAAAAATCCAAGCAGTATCATAATAACAATATGGACTTTAATAGAGATCTTTACAAATTTTTTTTAGTTAGAATAATTAATCAGTGGATTAATTGCTTCCAGAAGTTGTGGGTGCTCTAATACTGGAGATTTTCAAGAAGAGTTTGGACAATCATTTGTCTGAAATGGTATAGATCTTCTTGCCTGGGGGTTGGGCAAGGTCACTTCTAATCCTGTAATTCTGTTACTCTCATTTTTATCTGTATAAATATAAAATGATAACAACTACAATCCACTGTCCCTAGCCATGCAAAATGACTGCTTGTTAAACATTCAGTGGCAGGGTTGCTGGGAATTAGGAAATGGGGAAAATATTGTTGGTAGCTTACGTTCAGCCACTTGTACTAAGATTGATGGTAAAATAGAAAATGGATGCCAAGTGAGTAATGCTTGCCATTAATCTACTTCAGTAAAAGAGCCCTTCATAAAATGTTGCTGAACATAATAAATTCATTCAAAAGGCTTTTTACTGGTCATTCTTTCTTAGGAGATAAGGCAACATATAAATAATTTATGTCAGAAAATGAAACAAATTTTGTAAATGCATGTATTCTACACAAGCCTGTAATATTTTATTATACCTCTAATGTATAACAAAAATCAAGTGTCATGCTACAGATTCTAATTTACTGTCCTGGAAATCTTGGCAAAGACATTAGATGTTCAAATATTGTTTTCCTAATTTTTCTAAGGGTTGGATCTCTATTTAGGTAAGAAAATCATGTTCATGAAAGCAAACGCTATCCTCTTAACCGCAGAAATATTATAGATTACCAAGAAACCCTGCATTTCACTTATTTTAATACTACAATGGATTTGTCTCCTAGATATCATATTGTGATAGTATTTAAAAAACTTCATGATAAATCCTATAAATTGCTTCCCGAAATCAAATGTCAAGCTATCAGGTCCAAACAAATTAACATTGTTAAATCTGTGAATGGATAGTTTTGTGGCTTTTGTTCACTTTTGAAGCAGCACTGAAAGCACAGTGAAAGAAAGCACATTAAGGATAAGTGCTTAATCAATCCTCCCGTATCAGTTCACTGATGTATAATTTATTTCACTTGAAATAAGTCAAAACTTCTAACCCCTCCTTCTGCAGAAATAAAGATTACTGTCAAAATTCAAATAGGGTCAGTAGTGAAATATTGACATGCAATAAAAAGGCTACTTGGGACTAAGAGCTAATAAACTTTTGTAACATCAGCAGCCTTAGGGGAATAAATCCTTAATATGAGGAATCATCATTAAAAGAAAATATTCTTTATCTTTGCTTTTTGATGGGCAGTCAGATAAAGGACTTAATGCAAGTTTCACATGAAAGAAGGCAAAAATACATCCCCCCCCATTGCAGATTTACTTAGACGGAAAAAATGGTACAAAGAAAAAAGATAAATAATGCTCAATAAAGCCAATTCTTCAATCTACTGCAATTCTTTTCTTCCTGGATCTTTAAACTAACAAATAGTACTTGGTGGCATTACAGTTCATAAAACTAGGAAGACTTTCTTAAGAATACACATGAGCCAACTCATCTACTCCAATGGACAGCTTTAGTCTCAAAAATAACTCTTGGAATTACAGTTCTGTCCTTTAATTTTAGCGACAATCTTCCCTAGATAAGTTCATAAGTAATTTTTAAAATAATTTCAGAGACTCTGTAGTGACAGCTGATCTATTATTATTTTCATTATTATTTCTTCCCAGGGGCATTTAGTTCTGCTTTTGCAACCAAAGTATTTGAACATCTCACAATCTGTGTCTTACAAGAAAGAGAAAATAAACATTTAGAAGAAAATAGAACAAAAAAACTGAATCCTGAATCATTCACTTTTCACTTTCAGAAATGGGCAAGAGTGTCCCATCTCTAAAGTTGAGCTTTTGAAGCAAAACATGAGCCAATCCATTCTTCACTAAAATAATATGAGTTCATCATCAATACTCTGGTGAAGGAACAAAAGAGACAACTATCTTATGAAATATCTACCTGCTATTTATAAAGTCTAGAATATATTACTTTCTTCCTTCATTCCATAATTCACCTTCTGAAATGTTTAGTCCTACAATTCCAACATGATTTAAGTGTAAGTTATCTCTCCAGTTAGGGAGACAATTAGCTGTAACAATTTTAGAGATGAAACAAAAATTGCCTCTATAGACAGAAAATATAATCATGAAATATAATTAGAGCAGTCAATCATATTCTGAGGACAAAAGATAGAAAGTATAGGTAAGAGAGAGAAGAGACAATTTATTCCTTTCTTTAATTTGCCCATTGCCTTTATTTATCCTTTCATCATTTGATTAATTCAGTTGGTTAGTATTCTTTAACACTTCAAATAACCCTTCATATCAAGAAATGGTTTGGATGCTGACTTCCTGTTTGCTCTCTGTCGCTGCCAGATGGTCCCTCGGGACTGCCAGCCCCGTCGCCTGTAAAGAGCCGCCTTTACATCTGAAAGGCGGCTCGAAAAACTCCATTTCCATAAGGAAATGTGAGACAGAGCAGGTGAGGGCAGGTAGAGCTCTCTGCGAAGCCCCGAGAGTTTTTTTTTTTACTCTTGGGGGTGAAGCAGATGAGGTTCCCCATTTCCCTTGCCGCTGCTCCGGGCTTTGGGAGACCTCTGCCTTTTTGCAGAGCCAGGCGACGAGAACAAACCTTTTAAAGAAAATTAACAGACTAAGTAAAGAGGATGAGATCTGGACCTGTGACCCTAAATCGCAAGTATTTTTATTTACTTTGTAAAAGATATTGAAGAAAGCAAAAAAGAATTTTTAAAATGGCGACTGCCGAGGCTTGAGCAGGGAAAGCTGAAAAGCTGAAAAGGGAAAGTCCTTCCGTTTCTTATTAAGCCACAAAGTAGCGGAATAAATACTCCTGGCTACAATTGAAGAAAAAGCTCCACTTTTGTGTTTTCTCTTTCCTGGAGATTTGATATTGATCTTGTTTGGAAAGAAGCTTTTTTTTTCTTTGCTTTTCTTTTCTTTTCTAAAGTTTGTCTGTGTGGAAATATGGTGTTTAGACTAACAAAGCCAGACAAACAAGCAGTGGGGGGGGGGGATTCCCCCATTTACAAACTATATGAACAAGTTCTAAACCTACAGACTCAGAAAACTGATTTTAATATAATTGAATTTCTCTTGGAGGAGATTGTAAGAAGGGATGAGATTATGAACCAGAACTGAAAAATTTAAGCAGGAAATTAAAGAATTGGTGCAATTAAAGTTTGATACTTTGCAACGAAAGATTGTAAAAGTGACTAATGGTTTTTCAGAAATTGCTATGAAGTTGGATACAAATATTAATTTATTAGAGTCTAAAATGGAGGAAATTGAGGATAATTTGGACAATAAAATACAAAGAATTGAAAATGATTTGATAAACACTCAAGACAATAGCTTAGAAGAAAAACCTAAAATGGAAGCTGATCATGAGACTTGTAATGCTAAAAATATAAAACAACGGATTGAAAAAGAAGTTTTAATGATGCAACATAATCTCACAGAATATGCGATTAGACTGAGAGGAATACAGGAAAACAATAGAGATGACTTAAGGAAAATATCTTCTGAAATTCTGGCTGGGATCTTAAAGGTTCATCCTGAGGAAGTATTTTGTAGGATTGACAGAGTCTATAGAACAAATTCCTGGATTGCAAAGCAAAGGCAACTGCCTAGAGATGTGGTGATTTATTTTACAGATAAAGAAATAAGAAATAATATTGTGCAAAAATCTTTTAATTCTACTTTGCAATTGTTTGGAAGAAAGATTTGGATATATAAAGAATTACCGCCTAAGATGTTATTGGAAAGAAAGAAATTTGGATTTCTGTGACTGAGCTTAAAAAACAAAATATTTTATTTAGATGGGATGTTCCAGTTGGTATAATATTGAGATACCAAGGAGAAAGATACCAATTAAATACTGTTGAAAAAGCGGAAGAATTTCACCAAAATTTTTTGAAAATGAGCTCAACATTTTTATGCACAACACAAGATAAGCAGAAGGAGTTGGAAATAAAGGAAAAATATCGAGCTACAGAGGCCTCTGTAGATGAATCGCCTTTGGATTCTTTAGATGCCTCAGTTGGATTATCTATAAATAAGAGAGATGTGGCATCGGATTCTAACGTGATGACTCATCAAGTCACAGACAAGCATGGAAATCAATTAGTTGATACACAACTTATAGAAAAGAAATATGAGCCACAAAAGCAAAACCAACAAGACCAAATCATAAATCAGAACGAAAATCGACCAGTTGATATACAACTTGTAGAAAGGAAATTAGGATGGAGATCAAACCCACAAAAATTCAAGAAAAAAAGAAATAGATCTCACAAAAATAAAAATTTCTAAATTAGGCAACAGTGAAGCCAGTTATTTAAAAGATGACTGAATACATGAAAAGATAGTTGAGGCGAAGAATTGGTTAATATTATCCTGAGGAGAGTGACAGACCTCTGCAATGCCGTAATTTTGGGATGTGAAAAGGGCCTTAAATTGTTGGATTGGAATTATCTATTTTGGATTTTTTTGATAAATGTATTATGTTTATGCTGAGCTATATGGCAAGAGAGCTATGCTGGGGCATGCAGAAGATCTGGTTGTTACCCCATTATGACGGTGGGAATTAATAATCCTGAAGAAAGCCACTACTACAGATATTATATGGAATACAATTACAATGTCACTCGGGTGGTTGTTTTCTTTTTTTATATACATGAAGATATTCATTACTGATGGGGGTAGATGATAACTGAGGATTTTGAACATTTTGTTGCAATCAGGATGTTATGTTACCCTAATATGGGTGATGGAGTTAACAATCCAGTGGAAAGATATCAAAGAAGAC